CGCTTGGCCACAGCGCCGCTCCCCGCGGCACCGGGAAGGGCCCGTGACTCACACGCACGCCGGATGACATCTGGACAGACGGCATCGGGCCTCGGTGTGTTTCCGGAATGCTCTGTCGCATTTTTCTTGTACTTGCAGGTTTGCAGCGTGGACCTAAGCCCATGTGACCATTCCTCAGCAGAGGACAGTGACCCTCGAGGCCTGAGCCACACAAACCATTCCATTCACAGAGGCAGAGCCCAGAGGGCTTCCCAGGTGCTACCCTCGGGGCGGGCGGGGCAGGTGGGCCGGACGCCTTGTCTTGGTCCTGGTTCCCCTTAGACGGTCCGGTCCAAACCCAGACTCGGGCACTCTGCACCCTGGACCCCGTCTGCAGAGCAGGGCCCACAGGAGCCAATGCCTCCTCCGCCCACGGGACCTGCTCTCACGTGGCCTCTGGGAACCGAGAGACGGAGAGGAACTGTGAGGGGAGGAGGAAGTGCCGCATGAGGGTCACTCAGCGGGCAGTGTCCCACGTCAGGGGGCAGGCGGGTGCTTCCTGAAGACACACGTGTGCACATATATGCACACGCACAAGCACACATAGCCAAGCACGCACCCATGCGCACACGTGCATGCATGTGCACATGCACACACGCACACACACACACACACGCACAGCGGGCCTGCCACGGGTGTGCGTCCTGCAGGCAGAAGGGAGCCTGGAGAACACAGTCACAGGCAGCACCTGACACCTGTGCCGGGGTCGATGCTACGGCAACGCTCCCTCTTCCCCTGCGATGGGTGAGGGCGGCGCCTGGCCTGGCATGAGTCCCCGGTGAGCCAGCCCCTGCCCCACAGCCACCCTCACTCTCCACCCCTGCCCCACAGCCACCCTCACTCTCCATCCCTGCCCCACAGCCACCCTCACTCTCCATCCCTGCCCCTCAGTCCCCACCACGGGCCACTCCCTCCGGCCCCAGGGCCTTTGCACGTGCCATGTGGGGCTGGAACACTTCCACCTCCTGGGCAAGCCTCACCTGGATGACTAACTCCCGACCCTCAGCCTCTCAGCTCAGACAGCCTCTTCCCAGCAAAGGGACCCCGATCCCCCTTCACGTCCCGCTGCCACGGTCTCCTTCACACACAGGCCTCAACACACAGAACGACCCTGGTGTGGGTCCCTGTCCACACTCTGCGTCCCCAGGAAGCCGCCCACCTGCCCATCTGGCCAGCAGCCCCGCAGCAGAGCAGCGGTCCACAGACCCGGGTCCGCAGGAGGAGGGAGGGTCTGGTCATGTAAGAGGCGCAGGGTGCTGTCCGCACGTTTCAGGTAAACCCTCGTTCGCCTTCCCTTTAGGGACAGAAAGTCCCCGAGTGGCTGACCAGACGGCATCTCACAGCAGAATGGAAGGTGAGGCTGTAGCAGACAGACCCACGGGTGGGGGCTGGGGCTCATTTAGGAAGAAATGCCCTGGCACAGCCCCTGCTGAGCACCAGCGACAGAGAGATCGGGGAACATCCCCCCCCCTCGCCAGCCTGGCTCCCCGCGGTGACCCCTGTCTGGGGGGCTCAGCAGCTGTGCCAACTGGGGTCCCGGTTCCCCACGTTCCCACTAATGCTGTCTCCTGGCGTCCCCGCCTCCCAAGACGGGCCCCCGGAGCCGGGCAGCCCCAGGCACCCGGCCGACCTCTGCCAGGAGCCGCCCCACCTGGCTCACGAACTCCTGACCCTCAGCC